TAAATATATCTACATACTTATACAGCCCCAAATATTAACTTTATAACGACTGCAGAACCATTTTTGTAACGGTAATAGTTTTTGAGACATTCTAAAAATAAACTTGCAAAATCCGGGAAATTGTGAAATTTTGAACTTTCAAAAAATTGTATCCTTTGTCAGAACTTCGTTATATGATAAAAAAAATCTGACCCAAATTCATCTAAACCAATCGATTTAACATGGATTGGTCCATTTACATAAGTATTTATTGAAAAATTTTATAATCTTCATACGTACATAAATATATAGAGTCATGTGAACTGTCATCCTTCAAGCGCTGACAAATCGTGCACACACGTGATAAAAAAATATATATGTACTTATTTTATAAACATTACGGTTTCTAATACATATGTACATATGTACATAAAATTTTAAATATCTAGTAGTTTAATTATACATATTTAGTCAAAACGAGGTGAACGTGTCAGGCATCTTCATTTATCCAATTCTAGCACTGAATGAAATCCCATTCATACATTCACTTATTTACTTATGCACTTAGTCATTTATTCGCTGCATTCACATTACCGGTCACTTCATAATGGGATTTAATTACAATTGCATGCGTGTAAACTCAAGTGCCACACAAGCCGAAAGGTATTTGCACCTCAGCAAATAACTTCCTCGAAGACGACGCATATCCATATGTATCTAGTATTATTAGGTGACCATTTAAGTAGTCAAACGTTGGCATATAAATATATACTTGTATGTAAGTACAGACATATGTATAACTAAAACTTATTATGCTATCATATGTCCAACCAAGTAAGTGGTGCAGATGTGTGATATGAAGGAGTCATTGAGCTTAATGCAAGTGCATACACACATACATGCATATATTAGTGAAGTTAATATAATGATGGATATGTGCTTGTACCATATCTTAGTACATAAGTATACATACATACATATGTACACACTATCAATTACACAGGTTTACAAACAAAAAGTTTCTGCATATTGAACCAAACCTCTATAACCCTATGCATGTTATTCGACGCGCTGAATGCGAATCCAAGGTATGTTTGCCACCATAATGTTAGGTCCGAGGTCATTTGAGGATCAAATACGACAAAAAATTTATTCAATAAAAAAGTCTTGTTTTTGTTGTCGGTGAATCCGAATATGGGGTTCCCTTGATTCTTCAAGGTAATCTAGAGGTCATGCCAAGGTCAAATTCGGAAAAATTGTATTGAATTTTAAGGTTTACTCAATGAATTTTTCTCTACTTGAGCTGCAAATGACCTCGAACCTGACGTGATGGAGGCTAACAGACCTCGGATTTACATTCAGCGCGTCGAATAACATTGGGGATATAGAGGTGTGGTTCAATATGCAGACACTTGTTTTTTTTGTAAACCTGTGTTATTAAAAAAATCATACAAGGAGATGTTGGATATACATTAGGGTGGTGCAAAGTAAGTAATGTCGGAATTTTTATGCTCTCACCCCCTAGGATTATTCTATATCGAAAAAAGTATACTTTTTTTTTTTTTTTTGAAATCAAAAAATTTTTAGAGGTCACTCAAAGCGCTCAAATCTTTTCACGCATTTGATATGAAAAAAACGACTTTTGGTAGAAATGGTACGGAAGTCTTGAAAATCAATATGTGTTTTTCGATCGGAAACCTCTGGTTCTCTTCAGGAGACTTCCGATAACATTACCCCATTGTTTACCTAACCATTTTTTAATACTGAAGATTTTTTATTCATGTATTCCCCAATTGCATTTTCAAACATTTTAGGGGGTTTTGGCGGACGTATAAAATATAGTTACTATGAAAAAAATTTTAAATAAATAATTGGATATTATTACTGGAAATCTTTTGAAGAGAAGCAACGAAAAATATTGATGTTCAAATATTCTATACCATTTCTACGAAAAGTTGTTTTCCCCCATATAATATACATTCAAAACTTTGAGCACTTTGAGCGCTTTGAGCGACGTCTAGAAAAAATAAAATGGTGGTATATTTTTTCGACATAGAACAATACTGGGGGGTGAGAGCATAAAAATTTGCGACTTTACTTTTTCACATGCCTTTTTGGACCACCCTAATACGCATACATATATGTATGTACATACTATGTTTGGTTAATTTATAGTTGTCACAATGCGTGCATATCTTTCATTCTTACACAAGACAGAAATATTTCCTTAGGAATTATTCACCTCAATGTTGAGACGGCATCCATTTTGCATTATTAAATTTACTACCATTGGACAAACATACATACGTCCATACACCCGCACATGAGGTTATGTGCGTAATATTTAAGTAACATTGTCGCACAAAATAAACCATCATTTTAATATTAGTGCTAATCTATTTATAGCCATCTGATTTTGTAATTAAAGTACTCCTTAAGACTTTGAAACGGCGATGGGCACCGCCTTGCCCGCGGGCAAAGCTCTTTTGAGCTTTCTATACATTTTTGTATGGACGCGTGCAAAGTTAAAGCCTTCTATCCATCCCCCAGAAAATTCGGCCTCCACGTGCCCACCCTGAAAAACCCTCTAAAATTAAGCGAAACATATGCTTATGAATATATGCTACATAAGTATGTGCAGCGACGTACTGATTGCCAGTGACTAGGGATGGCAAAAAATAAAATAATCGACTAATTTAATCAAATGATTAATAGATGCCATGCCCATCTACCAGTGGCCAATTCTTTACCTTGCCACCACCATTCTACCAATAATGATATGAAAAAAAAAAATTAAAAAGTATCAATGGTCATTTGAGTCACTGAAGACCCCTTACGAGCAATTGTGTGTAGTTGATGGTTAAAACTTCTTTGGTGCCCCAGCTAAGAAGAGGTTATTAATGTAGCTTTACTTTGAGGAGGAAAAAGTCTCTTAATTTTTCTTAACAAAATTATTTGTACTGTCTTTGCTAGTCATTGCAGTATGACTGGACTACAATAAGCTAATATACGCTCACATTTAGTAAGTAAATATATTCATAGAAGCAAAGTCTGGTATATTATGATTTTTCACATTATTACCGTAGTTAAATGCAGTCTATTTCTTGAATGAAAAAGTTCATTCATAAAAGTAGTAATCGTTGTGGTTGGCTTAGTACACATTAATTGTTTGAACCTCAACGGGTGTTGAATGTCAACGTCACACAGCAATCGCTTAGTAGTCAAATGATTTTTTATTTTATTCGGAAAAATCGCATAAAACTAATAATTACTACGTCTTATTAAAACGAAAAAAAGTCAATTTGAAAATAATTTATCCTCTTAATTAATTGCTTTTGCTCTTTTACTTATTAAATAATGTAATGTAATGGGTAAAACGCGGTTAAAATTTTCAAAAAGTTATTTTGTTGTTGACATTGTGGTTAAAAATTCTAACAAGTTTTTTTTCAGGTACCGTAACTGCTATGCTCTTTGTAAAAAAAATCGACAAATAATCGTTTTTTTTCATCGATATGTTTTCAATCAAAAATTAACAATTATATATGGATCAGATATAAGAGTTCACTATAGACTTCATTTTGTTTTATTGCCTTGCTTATCATTGCACAAACAATAAAACTTTTCTAACTTAACGTTTACAAGCAAGTGAAATAGCGTTTAAATTTTGAACAAAATAAAACTAAAATTTTTTAACAAAAAAATGCAGCTCAAATATTAAATGTTAGTTTTGATCGAAAAATTATAAGTCAAACGTTTACTGTTATTTTAGACTGCAAAACTAAAGTCAAATCTTTACTGATTTTTTCACTTAAAACTAGTAAAAAATTTTGCAGCTATTTTGGTCTTGCAAATTTTCTGATTTTTTTAATTTTTTTAATAAGCAGACTTAAGCTTATCTTGGAAATAATTAAGTCTTTTATTACTCTCAAATGGGTTTTAACTGCATAAACATATACTCACACTTATACACATACATATATTTAAATATTTACATTAGGCCGTATCACAAAAAAGTTCAATTTGTTCCAAGTGATTTTAAACACTTAAGGCGAATTCACAGTTCGTGTCCGGACACTTTTTGTTAGTAATTTTACGCGTTCGTTTCCCACTCCGCCTCACTGAGAGCGCGAACACTCTTTGTTCAAATCAAATTGATTTTTCTGCTTTTCTGTACGAACGACTTGATGATTCGGATTGCCTTCTCCTTTATATGCGTTTGCAGCGAATTGCATGTATTGTTTGTCCTCAAAATCGTATGTGGGCAACAATATCATCAGCTGTTTGCTTCAGAACAAAATAAAATGTGCCGAACTGTTCGGTGAAACGTAGTTCAGCACCCTCTCTGGCAAAAATGTTTTGAGTGCAAATAAAAAGTTGTCCGTACACGAACGGTGAACCCGCCTTTACTTACTATGAGGGCATTCCAGCAGTGTAAATTTGTTTCGGCACCCTGTAAGAAACCTATGTATTTCCCTCTGAAACGATTATAATCTAACAACAAACTAAAAAGTGTAGATTTTTTCTGAACGTGGGATCCTGTAGTCAATAGTTAGAAGCTCAAAAACATACTCCCATGATACAGGGCACCCTGACGATGTATTTTTCAAGCTTAGTAGCAGATTACGATTAAGCCAACTTGAGTACCGAAAATATTTACTCTATTTAAATAATTACACAAATTACTAGTTGTTCAGTTAGCTGTTGTTTAAAGAAAATAGGTTTGTATTATTCTTTGCAAAGGGTTATAATTCGACATGGAGATTATTTTTCTGATTTTACTCTCCTGATATACCTGGGCGCTCATAGTCAGAACTCAAAATCGCTTGAAACAAATTGAACTTTTTTCTACCCATACATCGTGATACGGCCTAATGTACATGCCTCTTGACCATATTGTGTTACTACTGTAATATACACCACCACACATTGCAATTGTAACATTAAATTCCTTCATTGCTAATCTTCGTCTGTATGGTTTTGTTTTTCTTTTATTGCGCAAAGGTCCATTCTTCCGACTGTGTGCCCGCTGCCGGCAAGTGCATTGACCGCAAAGTCATTTTGTTGGTAGTAACACAATAAAGTACACGAACGCATTGTTGCCCAGCGTAACACCTGCCACTGCCTGCCACTGCAACGCGACGCACGTGAAAAATCTTTCGCGGCATCTGAGTGCCGCAGCTTAATTGCTGCGCTCATACACGCATGTGTCGTTAAAGTGGTTGCAACAGCAACTGGGATTACAGCGCGACAGCAGCAAATTTACCGTTTTCAAAGGAGCAACAACATGCTGCAGAATCCTTCGAAATATCATCCAAATCCGTTTTCTCACTTGTTGGCCTTGCATAGCACTCAGGCTGTGGTGAATAGCAGCAATATCGTCACTCATCAAACGCATTTGGCTGCCTTGCCGCCGGTTTTCGCAGCACAAAATCAACTGCAACTGCAACATCAGCAACAGCAGCAGCAGCAACAACAACACCAGCAACACTACCATAATCATCATCCAACAACAACAATTCCGACTATCAGTCAACAGCACAGCAATGCATTTCTGCTACAAAACCATTCACCACGCCAGCAACAACACAACACCCACGCGCATACGCGCACCGGCGAGCTGTTGGATGCGACCAGTACCTCCCTCGACATGGGCAAGTCCTTCACCATTGCCGCCATTTTGGGCTTGCAGAAGAGCGCAATGGAGAATAGCCGCAAGGATTACAACAACGCTATCAATTTATCGCTAAATAGTAGTGATGAAGATGGCGGCAAGGATGCGAGCTTGGGACGATCAGCGCATAGTAGTCAACAAGCGTTTAGTGATGAGGAAGTGGAAATTAGCGATCAACAATCACACAATTTACGTATGCCAAGTGCCGGCGGTGGCGGTGACAGTGGCATAAAGTCGCTGAAGTGCGTGCGAAATGCCAATAATTTGTATCAACAAAATGGCCACCCCTTCGATTGTAATGGCAATGCCAGCGCTGCTTTGATACATCGTTACTTACCAATGCCAGTGTCGTCTAAGCCAACGACGGCGGCTACATCATCGTTTGTTGCAGCAGCTGCTGCAGTAACGCAACATCATCATCAACAACAGCAACAACAACAACAACAAAATCTATTGCTGTCCCATGTGCGTTCTGTGGCCTCAGCAGCGGTGGCTGCATCGGGATCATCATCTGCGTTGCAGAGCTTGCAACAGTTGCATCAACATCACGCGGCGCAGCAAAGCTCCTTGAATTTGCAACGCGAGAAGCATAAGTCGGGTGAGTGAAATGGATTGAAAAACTCGCTGAATTTTAAATTTTTCGATAAAGATACCACATACATGTGTATACATATGTAGATATATCAAAAAATGTATGTGAGAAAGTAAAATCGGAATTTTAATGCTCTCACCCTCTAGTACTGTGCTATACCTCAAAAATTGTTCCCCTGTGTTTTATTTTGAAATCAAAAAATATTTAGAGGTCACCCAAAGCGCTTAAAGTTTTTCTTGTATTTTATATGGGGGAAAAATCAATTTTTAGTAGAAGGGGTATAGAATTTTTGAAAATCAAGATTTTTCGATCCGAAAACTTTGTTCCTCTTCAGAAGATTTTCAATAATAATACCCAATTGTTTATTTAACCAGTTTTTAATATAAACTATGTTTTATAAGACCCCCCAAAACAAACCTAAAAAATGTCCCACCTGTGGAATATTAGAGCGCTTTGAGAAATATTTTTTGATTTAAAAAAGGGCATATTTTTATAAATATTCCGACTTTACATTTCGGACCACCCTAATGTACATACCTAGACAAATATGTCGATCACTCTTTAAGCAGATGCATCTATTACAATGGCGATATCGATAAATAGACAGGTACATATTAAAAAAAATTCATAAAAGGGTATTGTTTAAGTTTTCAAAAACTACGTATGTGTGTATATCGAAAAATATATCTATACAAATATATTGATAACTCATACAAATGGTAAAACACTGACACAAAATATCGATAAATAGATATGTCGATACTTATGCAATACGGTACTCGATAAGTGTACACAATCAAACCAAACTCGATAAAACTCAAAGAAAATATCAACAAGCATATCGAAAAATATATCGATTTCAATGAAAGTATTAACAAATATATCGAAAAATATATCTATATACATATCGGTCGAAATTTGTGAAACAAACATACATATGATATCGATAAATAAGTCGCATATATCGATAAAGTATCGAAAGAAATACTAAAACTGATATATAAATATAAACATCTAAATACCAAAATTAACACAGATTTCGATAAATATTTCGAAGCCTGTAGAAACGCATATACATATACATATATCGATAAATATATCGATAGCTATTTTAACACAGTTATCGATAAATTAATTTTTACCAATTCTGACCATCGAAATAGTTATTTATGCTAATTATTTCTCGTTGGTAATAAAAATTTAGTAAGCTATTTTTTTTAATTTTGTTTATAAAACTTTTTAAAGTTGTCTGTTAGAAAATGTTCGATAACAATCAAAATTGCCCTGTCCTAAAGAACCTCAATTAATGTCAATTCGCTCATATGTGTATTTATATGTATGTAAATATTTATATCTTCCGCGTTGCTCACTCACAAAACAGCTGATTTGATTCACCTCGGAACACATGTGTCAAAATTTCTTATGAGTGAGTGAGAAAGTAAGAGTGTTGGCATTTTTTCCTCCGCTTCTTACTTGAGTGAAGAATAGCTGAAATGTTGGCATTTGTGTGTCGAAAGCGAAATCAAAATACATGCAAGATTTTGTTTTTTTTTTACTACTGCTACCACCTTATATGAATTCGCCTCGCTCCATTCACATCCGATCTTATACCAAAACGCTTTTTTGTCAAAAAAATCAACTCATCTAACTTTTCGTTTCTTTGCAGAGAGCAACTCGAAAAAATCATCGCTGAAAAATAAACGCGTACGCACCATCTTCACGCCCGAGCAGCTGGAACGATTAGAGGCCGAATTTGAACGACAACAATATATGGTGGGACCGGAGCGATTATACTTAGCGCACACGTTGCAATTAACCGAAGCACAAGTGAAGGTGTGGTTCCAAAATAGACGCATTAAATGGCGCAAACATCATCTAGAAATCACACAACAACGCCTTGCACTGCTACGCCAAAGCCAGTTACCAGGCGCTGTTGAGCCGACGAGCGCTGGCGGCATTGTAGCGGGCAATTCCATAACAGTTAGCAATAGCATGCCAACTATCAATAAAACAAATACAAGCAATGATGCTCGAACATCTTCGCCAATCAGTTGTGGTGCGGAGGATGTTGATGAGCTCAGCAAACAGGGCGAAGAATTTCATTCACTCAGTCGTGGCAGTCATTCAAGCTCAGAATCGGATC